GGAGTCTTTTAGATAGACCCACTGAAGGAGTACTCCAATTGCTTCACCCTGCATCCCTGTTCAGTATAGAAGAAGCCAGAACAACCTGCATCCCAATTCCCTATCCACAAGCTGGGTAACCTCTTCAAAGGATGATGTGATAAGAATAGGAGGTAGGAATTGGCTAGGCAGTTAGTGTAAAACGACTCCAAAGTAAAGTAGCCAGTTTCTTGGTGAAAAGCTAAAATGTCCTTGGGCCTCTTAGCAACATACTCTATTCCAAAGGCCAAAAATGTCTAAAGTATTTGGGAGCTCTTATTGAATCCTTAAAAGATTTTAGGGCTACCTCTTCAGGACAATTCACTGGGGAATCCAATTCCCCAACTGAGGTTCCCTCATCCCAAGTGTGTGAAGTTGACAACTGAAGCTATCCAGCACAATCATGTATCTTTTTTGGGAGGGTACAGAAGTTTGGGGCAGTCTCCTTGTAGCCCAAACCGGCCTGGAATTATGTAGACCAGGCTGGCCTCAATCTAGCAGAGATCCATCTGCCTCTGCCTCCCAAGTGCTGGGATTAAAGGCATACAACCCATGCCCAGCTTAGCCTGTTATCTTAAGCCACATGGCTGATACCTAGTTTTCTAATCTTTCAAAAATATCAACATTCCAGGGCTAGAGAGACAGCCCAGCACTTAAGAGCACTGGCTGCTCTTGCACAGGACCCAGATTCAGTTCCCGGCACCCACATGGTGGCTCACAACCAGCTGTTCCAGAGAATCCAACACCACCTTCTGGCCTCTGCCAACACTGCATGCACATGGTGCACAGGCATACATGCAAGCAAAACACTTTGAGTTTCACCTGCATGTAAGTGCATCACATGTGCAATGCCTGCAGAAGTCAGAAGAGGATGTTGTATCCCTGGAGTTAAAGATGGTTGCTAGCTGCCACAGGGGTGCTGGGAACCAAACTTGTGACCTGAACCCTTGGGTCTTCTGCAAGAGCAGCCAGTGCTCGTAACTGCTGAACCATCTCTCCAGCTCCCAAAATAAATAAATCTTTAAAAAATGATGTATCTACACTCCTACCTTTCAGAGTCACTGTAGATTCAGAGACCACGCATGTAAATGCCCAGAACAGAGGTATTTGAAATGGTTCTCATCAAGTAGCCTGGGATCTATCATGGATAATAATCTATTAAGTCCCACCAGTGTGGATGTTTCAATCGTGTTGATACTTGCCTGATAACTAGAGGCGCTCCTAAGAACTGACAGCCCTTCTCAGTTTCTCTACAGTATATAGTATCTAAGAGTGTAAGAAACTATGGAGGGCCTAACAGTCTAAACATAGCCTACAGACAAGGAATCCTAGATTTTCTAATCTTAAATACTAAATGTTTTAAAATAGACAAGTATTTGCCCAACAGTAGCTTCAACATGAAGTCTCTCTCCTTCAGCAAAGAAATGGACTTTTGAGCAGGGCTTGGGGAGCTCCTGGAAATCCCAAATAACATCACTTTCCAATTTTTTTTTTTTTTAAATAAGGTCTCCATTACCCCAGTTGGCCTGGAACTCACTATGTATACCAGGCTGGCCTCAATCTCAGACACTGGCCTGCCTCTGCCCTGACTGCTGAAATTAAAGGTGTGCACCACACCTTATTATGTCTTTTTGGTATTTATGGATATTTTGCCTGCATGTAATTAGGTGTGCTATCTGCATGCCTGATATCCAGAGGCCAGAAGAGGGCACCAGATCCCCTGGACCTAGAATTAGACGGTTGTTAGTTGCCATGTGGGTGCTGGTAACCAAATTCAGGTCCTCTCCAAGATCAGCCAGTGGTTTTAACTGCTGAGCCATCTCTCCAGCCCACTATATCTTGGGTGTGTGTGTGTGTGTGTGTGTGTGTGTGTGTGTGTGTGTGTGTGTGTGTTTGAGGCTGGCCTCAACTTGTGATCCTCCTGCCCCCAACTCTTGAGGGCTGGGATTACAGGCATGTGTCACCACACCCAGAAAATTTCATTCCTAAATGAAGATATTAAAATCACTGAAATAGGCTTGCAAATGTGGCTCAGTGGTAAAGCACCTGCCTAACCAGTGGAAGTCCCTGGCCTCAATCTTCAGCACAAGAAGACAAAAACAAATTTTAAAAACTGTTGAGTGTCCCTAGGATGGGGCACATCACTTTTTTCCTAGCCTCAACCAGAAGTGCATGGCACAGTGAGAGAAATCATGAGCAAGGACGGGGTGGAGTGCTATTCCTACATTATCTCTACTTTTGCTATGATCAGAGAAAACTATTTCATTTAGTTTACCCTGCAGCAACAGAAGCAACCTCCTCCCAATTGATTTAGGAATTTATTCTGTCAGTATAAACCTTAAAACGCTAAAAATGAACCATGTTTGGTAGCACACACCGTTAATCCCAGCACTGGGGAGGCAGAGGCAAGAGGATCTCTGAGTTCAAGGCCAGTCAGTGCTACAGAGTAACACTGTCTCCAAAAAGAACAAAAAAAGACATTAAAAATGAAGAAATGGCCAGGCGTGGTGGTGCACGCCTTTAATCCCAGCACTTGGGAGGCAGAGGCAGGTGGATCTTTGTGAGTTCAAGGCCAGCCTGGTCTACATAATGAGTTCTAGGACAGCTGGGGCTACAGGGAGACCCTGTTTCAAAGACAAAAAAAAAGTAGAAATGTGGGGCTGGATAGTTCAGCAGTTTAGAGCACTGGCTGTCTTGCAGAGGACTCAGGTTCAATTCCCAGAACTCACATGGTGGCTAACAAGGGTCCATAGCTCCAGTTCCAGGGGATCCGACACCCCCTTCTGACCTCTGCGGGCATGGCACAACACAGGTGCAATTACATGCATGCAAGCAACACACTTATACACTTAAAAAAATAAGTTCTACAATGCAGAAATGTAGGGAAACTAGCAGGCAGTAGGGAACTCTACCATGTTTACGTCACAGACGTTTATAGCAGTCTTTGGCTCTTCTCAAGAAACCCCATTTAGCACTGATGTGCCGTTGTGTGGAAGCCAAAAGTTAACTTGGGCAGTCAATTCTCTCCTTCCACCATGTGGATTCTGGGATTGAACTCGGGCTCACCAAGCTTGGCAGCAAGTGACTTTATCTGCCAAGCCACCTTGCTAGCAGGTTTTTTTCGTTTTAAAACTTTTTTCCTCTCCCTGTTTTTACTTATTTTTATGTGTGTGAGTGTTTTACCTGCAGGTATGCACTTGTGAGTACAATGCCCACAGAGGCCGCTGGAACTGGAGTTAAAGACAGTTGTCAGCTGCCATATGGGTACTGGGAATTGAACCAAGGTTCTTTGGAAGAGCAGCCAGTGCTCTTAACTGCTGAGCCATCTCTCCAGCCATACTTAAAACTTTTAAAATAATCACTAAATACTATTTCAGGGCCCCAGGTTATATCCCTAATTAGTACTTTATTACACCTAATTAGGAATATTTGAGGAAATGTATAATTATACGCAGTATTTACCTTCAGTGTTAAACATCAACCAACACTTGATTAAACAACACCCTCTCAACATAGACACAGACCACAACTTTACAGAGGTTCCCTACAATAAAATATAGCACTTTGCTCTGCGAGGCTCATTTACAAGCATCAGTTAACAGAGAATGGATCAGAGAGGGTGCAGTTCACACACACAATTATTTTAAACCCCTAGAGCATGTAAGTGTGTGCTGCAAGATATGTAATGGAATCAGAGGTCAGGAAAGCCTGGATACCATACTGCCAATACTGCCATGTTTGAGAAAGTCAAATCAGATTCAAAACAGTTCTGTGGGAAAAGGGGGTTGGGGGGAATCAAGGCCATACACGGAAAGAATATCCCCAAAGCAGCATTTATTTACCCTTTTAATTCCAAAACATTTATTTTAGAAGTCTGGCATTTCATAATCACCCATCTTGATTGACATAGGTTGACATACATGATGCTGTCAGGATACACAAGAACAATAGCCAAAGAGTTACAAAAAAATAAATCCATGATTCTTAATCACAACCAAAAAAAACAAGTTACACGTATCAAAACTTTAGATGCATTGCATTGAAAAGAATGTCTGTGCACAACATAATTTAAAGAGGCAAAACAAGGCGCTACTGAAACCTCACACTGAACAGTCTACTACAGCTGATGGAAAGGAGCAAGTTGTCTCTGTCAGTTTCCCATTAGCTGAAGAAAGAAGGGGAAGGGTTGGATTCATTTTGCATGCACAAGATGTACTGCTTAACAAAACGCTATCAGCTTGTTTGAAATATCAGCCATAGCCTGTGTTGGCTAACTCTCTAAACTCTTCGATTACTGTCACCTAGATTTGCCATAGATCAATAGGCATAGTAAAATGCCTCATTCAGAACACACTTCTCTGCACAATTCAAAAAGGGAGCTCCTGTGGGCTCAAAGGAACCATCAGTCCAGCAATGCCCTTGAAAGTTTACCTGAAACTGCTTCCCAAGGGACAGGAGCAGATCTGAGAAGCTGTGCTGCCAATACAGAGAGGTTTAGCACTGGATATAATGACTGTGGCAGGGAAGAATCGGTGATGATGGGGGTGGTGGGTGAAGGGAGGGCCAGGGGCCTGACGATCTTCAGTTGCCTTCTCCTGCTTCTTCATCCTGCTGGTCGCTCGTCCAGAGGGTGAGGTTGTCTCGCAGCAACTGCATGATAAGGGTGGAGTCCTTATAGGAATCCTCGTTTAATGTGTCCAGCTCAGCTATGGCATCATCGAAGGCTTGTTTGGCTAAGAGGCAGGCCTGCTCGGGTGCATTCTGGATCTCATAGTAGAACACAGAGAAGTTGAGGGCCAGGCCCAGCCGGATAGGATGTGTTGGCTGCATGTGCTCTTTGCTGATTTCAAAGGCTTCCTTGTATGCTGCCTCCGAAGCTTCAACCACACTGTTTTTCTTCTCCCCAGAAGCCACCTCTGCCAAGTAGCGGTAGTAATCGCCTTTCATTTTCAGGTAGAACACCTTGCTCTCATACTGGAAATCATTGCAGTTCTTGATGAGAAACTTGTCAAGCAGTGCCAGGACATCATTGCAAACTGTCTCCAGCTCTTTCTCAATCTTCTCCCGGTAAGCTTTAACTTTCTCCAACTTCTTTTCATTTCCATCAGCCATGGTTTTCTGCTCAATGCTACTGATGACTCTCCACGAAGATCGCCTGGCACCAACTACATTCTTGTACGCCACAGAGAGGAGATTTCGATCTTCATTGGAGAGAGGTTCATTCAGCTCTGTCACCTGCAAAACACCAGAGATAAACATTGAGAGCAAAGCCTGAGGATCTTGGAAATCATCCTTTCAACATAATTGACAATCTTTCTCAAGAACAGACTGTGAAGTCAGGCACGGTGGCACACGCTTTTGATCACAGCACTTAGGAGGACATGACAGGGCCCTGGGAAACTCCTAATTTAAGTCTTATGTAAGATGCTGTTTTGAGAACTGGAGAGATGAGTCAGTAGTTAAGAGTGTGTGTTGCTCTTGCAGAGAACCAGAATTTTGTTCCTAATACCCACATCAGGAAGCTGGAAACCATCTGTCCAAGGATCCAACCCCTTTAATGGCCTCTGAGGGTACCCACACCCATAAATACATACATAAATAAAAATCTTTAAAAAAAAAAAAAAGCTGTTTTCATTTTGTAGAGGAATGGTCATATAAGAATTACAGAAGGGCATTATGGTGTTGGCACACAATTCTGAAGACTGCCCTATGTGGTTATTCCCCACAGATATTCCCAACCCCTCCCCCAAACCAAAATGAACAATGGATTACTAAATGCCCCTAGACTCTGCTAAAATGAAGCAAAGTTACATAGCAGCCATCTTTTTGTCCAGACCTATGTGACTGGAACCAAGATGGCCCGAGAATCTGGAAGTACTAATTGCTTTAAATAGGAGTTAAAAGCTTCATCAGCTGGGAGCTGGAGAGATGACTCAGCGGTTAAGAACACTGACTGTTCTTGCAGAAGACCCGGGTTCGAATCCCATCACCCACATGGCAGCTAACAACTGTCCGTAACTCCAGTTTCAGGGGCTCCAACAGCCTCTTCTGTCCTCCGTGGGCATTGCACGCCACGGGTGCACTTAACCTACATGCAGGCAATACATGCATACATATAAAAATAATAATTTTTTTAAGTTTCATCAGCTATAACTTTGTTTTCTATGATGCCAACTCCAAGTGAACCAGCTGTACATTTAACAGACAGACCATTAGAATTTGCTGCAGGTTGAACTGCACCCCTCCCCGCAAACTTATGCTGAAGTCCAATGTCTGGTACCTCTTAATGTGACCATATCTGGAAGTAGGGTCTTTCAGATGTTAAGTCATTAAATCCAATGACTGGTGTCCTTATAAGGAAAGCAAGATTTGGAGAGGAACAGATACACAGGCACAGAACACCATGTGACAATAGAAGCAGCGACTGGAATGATGCCTTTATAAGCCAAGAACACCAAGTGTTGCCAGAAGCCACCAGAGGCTGAGCAGCAAGGAAGGATGCTTCCCTAGGGTCTTCAGAGGAAGCACTAGCCTCCAAATCTTTAAGAGAAAAATTTTCTATTGCTTTAAGCCACCAATCTGTGGTACTTTATTTCAGGAGCTCTAGAAAACTAATATAGACTTAAAAATCAAAAAGTCCAAATTTGGGCCTAAGCAAAGTTACTAAACTCACCTGCAACCTGCAACATATCCTCTTCACAAACACGCATGGGTGGTTCTTAATAGGACCTACTAGTAAAGGTCTCTAATTTTATTTTACATTTAATTTTTTTTTTGTACAGTGTGTGTGTGTGTGTGTGTGTGTGTGTGTACACATGTATACCATGGCACACATGTGAAGGTCAGAGGACAACTTGGAGCATTCTCTACTTCTACCATGAATGTCCCCGGGATCAATCTCAGGCTTGGTGGTAAGTGCCTTTACCACACTGAACCATCTTGTCAGCCCACAAGGTTTTCTTAACTTTAGGGGGGGGGGGGACAGAACAAAACACTTAGGAAGCCATTAAAAAAGGTATTATGTAAACTGAAGTATAAGGACAAGAACTTCTCATTGATAAGGAATGCCAAATTCAAATTCAATGAAGAAAATTACTAAGCGCAAATTCAAACAGACATGTTTAAAAGGCTGAGCAGCAGAGATTCAGAAGCTTTCATATTAATGATTTACAGAAAGAATTTGTGGTTTGAGAACATGAGTAACAAACATAATCATCTTCTGTAGAAAGTAGAAAGCTTGGCTAAGTTTTACAAGGTGAAATAATCATCTGAGTCTCCTTCTAGGCAATTTTTGTCCCCAAACCCCAGATAGGACAAAAACATCAGCCCCTCAGCTCATTTCCAGGACCCCTACTCTTGCTGTAAATCCTCATCCAGGATTGTACGTACCCTCCTTGGCCTACTCTTAATCAAATCCCACTTCTCTTCAGTGTGGTCTTTGACCCAGGACAGCTTCCACACCAGCCCAGCCAGGCTCCTTACTCCTTTCTCACACATATCAGTAGTCTCCACAGTCCTCAATGAGGTCTGCCCAGGCCAGCAAAATCTCCACTAATCCAAAAATCCATGCCCCCTTCAAATCCAGTTGAAGATTTGTGACATCCCCTATCTTGTTTCCTCCTCCAGTAAGTACCTTTAAACATCTACATTGTTCACTGGAAATACTTTGTAGATACTGTTTAATAATTTAGTCTCTTTCTAAATCAAAGTTCTACCTCACTCTGACAAACTCCAGAATGCTTAATCCTACTGCCTGACACACTTCTCTAAAGCTCTATTCAATAAAAGAACAGAATTTGAAGAGCTGTTTAGAGCTTACAATAATTAACACCAACCAAGGCCAACTGACATTAAAATGCAAATGATATCCTAAGGAGTCTTAGTATACTTCAGACTGTGACTAAGGAGGCTGCTGTTTTAGGACTGTTACAGAGAGGTACCAAGGTAACCAGAGAAATAATCAAAATTGAGTGCACATCTAAAGTACATTTATAGATCACATACTGCGTGTAAGGGGCAGCGTAATTACCAAAACCCAAGACACATCAGTTTTGTCTGACCTACCTGTGTGACCTCAAATCATAACCTTACTTCAAATCATAACCTTTTGAGACATCACAAGTTAAATATAGTAACAACTAGGCCTGGTGGTGTATACCTGCAATCCCAACATTCAGGAGGCTGAAGCAGGAGAATCACCAATACCAAGAGCGGCCTGACCTAAAATTCTATCTTTAGCCTTTTATCTCGGTGCTTGGGAGAGAGAGGCAGGCAGATGTCTGTGAATCCCAGGCCAGTCGAGACTACATTGTGAGACCCTGTCTCAAAAAACAGAGGAAAGGATCCCAAATGATCCCCCAAGCATCCATGAGTTCCAATACTTCTCTTGAGTACCAACAAAAGGAAGAATAAAGTCTGAGGTTTATTTAATCCTATTAGTGTAAATGAAGTTGATGTATATGTGCTGGTTTCAGGAATTCATAGAAACGTATTTTTTCCCCACCAGGAATAAACTGCCAAAAAGGCTACCAGGCAATATTTAAAATGACAACTTCACAAGAAAAATCACTGAGTATTAGTGTTTATGTAACAAGCATCTGGTTGCCTGCCAGTCTGAATGAATCACTATCAGCATCAGCTGAGAGTGACTAACAAAACTTAGCAGGCAAACATCGTTCTTATAACCCCAGCCAAAGCCTAACTACGAAACAGCAGGGTACATTTAAATATAGTATATTTAATACTCCCGGGTCATTCCGTAGTTAACAAAAGGAAATGTAAGGAATGAAGACAGTTTACTACATGTTCATTAATTAAATAAAACTGAGGGGACTAAGGAGATAGTTCCGTCCTTAAAGTTCCTGCCACATAAACTTGAGAATCAGAGTTCAGATCCCCTACATAAACAGCAGGGCATGGTGGCATGCTCTTGTTGGGGAACTGGTACAGTGAGACCCTGTCTTACGTAAATAAACAAATGGAAAAAAAAAAAAACTCAGTTCCTCCAACATTGGGAAAGCACAGACCCCAAAATTCAAATAGCCCATTAAAAAAGACAAGTCAGGGCTAGAGAGATGGCTCAGAGGTTAAGAGCACTGACTGCTCTTGCAGAGGACCTGGGTTCAAGTCCCAACACGTGGTGGCTATGAACCATCCTTAACTCCAGTTCCAGGGGAATCTGAAGCCCTCTTCTGACATCTGCAGCACTGCGTGACACAGGTGCACTCACATACATGCAGGCAATACACTCATACACATAAAAATAAAATAAAATGAGTCAGTCTTGACTGGTAACACACATGCAGAACACCTTCACTAACATTAGTTAGTACTAGTTGCCAAGAACAGAAGAGCCAGAGGACAAGAGCCATCTTACACTGCACTAAGCAAAAGTGACACTGGCAGGCTACACAGCACAACAGGAAGGAGCAAGATCCTCTGCCAGCCCCCCCCCATGCCACCTACCACAGTCACACAGCACTCACAGGATGGGATTACTGTCCTCAAACACAGGCCCCCTAACGGTTTCGACTGGAAATACAAAGACTATGATTCTCAACCAGTTTCCTTTCCACTCCAATACCAAGGCTACAATATTCACTTCTGCCACACATCAGCTACCCTCCCCACAGCCACTCTGAGCTCTAAGCCTGCACATGACTACTTCTCTGCATGCAGCCCCACCTCTGTTCTAAGCCTTTCTTGCTCTCCTGCCCAGCTCCTTTAATCCTTACACCCTTCATAAAAACGTTCCTATTTATAAAAGCCATTCTCCCCATTTCTTCTAAAAAACTCCATGCCAGTGATATCCTTACCACAGACTTTGGCTACAGCAACTCCCAAACCCAGGGCAGTGGCTTCACCCATTCTCTGCTCTGGGACTACACAGCACTATTAACAGTCACAAACAGGACCAGAGAGCTGGTGCAGGCGTTAAAGGCTCAGGCTCACAACCAAAAGTCACAAATAACCAATCTGCTGCTAATTCATTTATCTTCCTTTGACACCATTTGCTTACTCAGAAATATCTGGGGGCTTCCTCCCACTACTCATAAGGCAATAAATTGTGTTTGTCAACAAAAATAGGCCTACTGCCAAAAACAGAACAGTGACTATTCAGAAAAACTTAAAGATACTAATCTGAGAGATATCCAATATCAAAAATAATACTGAGCAAACAAAACTGCCACAGGAGCCAGGCATGGTAAGCCAGGCTTGTAATCCCAGCTACTAAA